CCTTGGAACGGGAACTGGAAAGCACATAGTGCAGTGAGTGGAATTCATGCCCGGAGGCTGAAGAAGATCTTGTTCCTTCACTGTAGTGACGCCAGCAAGTGCTGAAGACGGGGCTCCTTCTATCTGGCTGGCCTTACCAGGGCCTGCCAACTGACGAAGGAGAGGCGAATTGACGGAGACGGAAACATGATTGTGCAATCAATTTAACTGCTGCGTACGCACAAGAGTTCTTATAATCCAATCTTCCTCCTTCTTCATTCTTCTCCTCTTTTGATTCTCCTGCCACCCTTGTATTTTCTTAATATAGCACAAGTATTCGTCCACTTGCTGCTGTATTGGACTCAGGTAAAGTTTCTATCCTCTTCTGGCCCCTTCCCCAGCAGAAATCCCCACCAGTTTCTTGACGTGCCCCCTCTACCTGGCACCACTGCGACCTCCTCTTGTCTACCTCAGATTTTCTTGGCTCATTCCCGCGGCGGAGTCCGTACTCTCCCGACCCAGACCCGTGAGTATGCACATCGTGGTGACTGTCGTCCTTTTCCAATGACTGACAGCCAATAGAAGGGGGCGGGCGGAGAAGACAACTTCTTTACGACGTCAAGTTTTTTAGGCAGTGAAACGATCGACGTCAACTGAGCCAGCACTTTCCGTGCCCTACGGGCTTTGGAGGTACCTCGGGGGTGACTGCCTGCCGGCTGTCCCACGACGGAATGTGTTGCTTTCCACCTGCGCCAGTGATCAATGAGGTTCGCTCCTAGTGAGTGTGTGTACCGTCCGGATATTTCTTAAATGTGAATGAATAATAAATAATAATTCCACTCATGTTTGTTTATTTGAACGTTGCAAACACTACAGTGATTTCAACGCATGCACGAATTTGCAGATACGCAACATGATGTATGTTGTTGATCTGTGTTAAAGGATTCCTTATCTCAGTGTGTGATAGTGCATATTATAACTGTTTGGTGTCGGTGCATGGATATTTGTGAGGAGGAACATGGATTAGGATTACGAGCCGAGTATTCGCCAGTAACGCAGAGTATCCCGCACGACACGGCGGTACCTTAGCAGCATCCGCTATGGTCCATCAGCAGTTCTAAAACAATACTACGACGGCTACTCGAGCGCTTTTTTTTTTCCCGATCGAAAGAAACTTGAAGGTAAGCTTCACGTCTAATCCAGCATTCAAATCACCCATATTATTACAGTGTTGGAGATTTAATGTAGTTCAAGGCCACATTTTCACGGCTAATTTAACGTTAAAGGTTCTTCAGTTAACGTGACTATAAGTAACAAAAGTTTGAAGCTATGTTTTACCCGCGACCCAGCGTTCAAATTACCGGTATTATGTCAATATTTTACATTAATCAAAGCTTCAAACCAAGTACCGTGCCCAGCTCAGCGCTCGAACGGCATCAAAAGGTATGTTTTACGTCTAATCCAGCACTCAAATCACCCATATATTAGAATATTAGAGACTTTGTGTAAATTAAACTTAAGTTTCACTGCTAACCCAGCGTTAAAGTTACCTCAGTTAAAATCGGTATTAGAAAAAAATATTTTTATTTCAGGTCCCACGTCCAACCAACCTTTCATATTACCGTAATTTTGTCAATATTAGTAATCGAAGGTTCGATCTAGGTCTCATGTCCAAGTCAGCGCCCGAACCGCACTACGTCAGCTGATATAACTTGCAAGTAGACTTCACGTCAAACCCAGCGTTCATATCACCATAAATGTGGTTGCATCTCAACTCGAAACAAACAGTAAATGTTCAATTTAAACTGCGGCCCTTAAACAGGTGTCTAGGCTCTAATAGTAGCTGGGCGCATGCTAAGAATTGTAAATATTGTCCGCGCACTTGTACAAAATTGAGCGATCGAATGTGTTAGTGACTGCTCATCTCGTGATAAGAAAGAACAATATCAGGAAGTTACATTAATTGTTTTAATTTAATAGAGAATTTCTTGAGATAACGCCGATGTGGTCTTCCGGTTGTAACGTCGTATGGACTTGCTGGTAGATAACAATGCTTCGGAGAAACACACTGCCTCTATCTTCAAGACTGAAGATCGTATCTACCTTCAAGCCCACATGGTGCTACAACTCAGAAGACCAACATCGTCATCTTCAAAACCTCAAATTTCATGCAGTGAAAACAATTACATATCTAGTTTGAATCACTTAATTATTAATATAATGCCTTAAATTCCGAATAAGTAATCACGCTTAGATAATGGTCTGGCGCGAAATATAGTCGAGTACTATCGCAGATATTTAAGAAGACCGAGCCGGAAACACAAAACGTACTGTCGGCTTAAAGTGTTACTTCCGTCCCAGCATTCAAGTCACCCAGACTACATGGTTCTGTTGTCAGAGCACGGCCTGCCTCAATGTAATTCGCATTATGAGCTTGTGATTTAAGTTAGTTGATGCACAAAACTGCTATACTGAGGTATGTGGAAATTAAGCAAGTACTACTTAATGAAGTACCACGAGAACTCCGACTTAAAGAACCAGACACTGGAGCGCATTACTGGAAATTCGCTGACGGGCAAACCACCAGGGAGGTCACCGCCAACTTTGTCCTTCTGATGATCGTCGGTAGTTCGTGGCACATGTGAACCTCTAAACTTTATTAATACAATATTATTCATTCTTTTGAAAGTCTCGTTTACATTAATACCTGGACTTTCACAATAATATACAGTGTGATTTCCGCATTTTTCTCACAAAAATTTCGCAATATATATCATAAAAATTGGAAAAAATTATTACATTACAGTGAACTTCTAAACGTGAATAACACGCTTTTTAATCGTCAATTTAGTTGTTCATTCTGCAAAGTGTCATGACATACGTTTAGTTTCATAAAACTGCTATTGTAACTAACTGTACTTGCTAACGAAAACTAAATTCTTTCTTAAAAGCGGGTCAAAATTCCAAAACAATATTTCGATTGCATTCGTGCTGTAATGTGTTAAAATTTTGAGGAACATTGGTAACTATATAATATACCACTTTCAAGATGTAATAACTGTGAATTTTATTTATGTTTTTTTTATTATTATAATTAACAGCGATTATTCCCTTAAATAGTGTTAGCCAGTTGATCTTCGTAATGGAGAAGATGAGTTTCGTTTCTGATACGGACTGTTATTTAAATGTTATTTAGCCGTGTTGCGTGCTTTAAATGGTAAAAGGCGTGCTCTTAGCTGAAAGATTGTAAATATCGTTCGCAGTCGAACTGAAGCGTTGTCACCCGTCATATTTGCCGAAAACCGAAACCTCACTTCTTTTCTTACAGATCGACAGAGTGTGCATGTGTTTAAATTTGTTAAAATGCACAAAATGTGTACGCTCTTCAAGGTAATGCAGACTTTTGGGCCCAGACAAAGCTAGTATCTGTTATGAAGCCAACAACAAACCCCCCACTACATTCGTAGTTTGACGCAGTATGAGTACTTATTCATGTTTGCCCACGAAAAGAGCAATGCGTGTTCAAACACGACAAAAATGTTAACAGATGTAAAGGCATTCTTACGCCACATATCAACAACACACATCGTTCGTATTTGCACTTATTTTGGTGGAATGAAACATTTATACGCGATTATAGAAATAAATCGTCTAAATAATAAAAAGTGAAGTATAGCGCATTTTATACAATTTTATTACTTGGCCTGTTTTGAATTATCGGTAAATACAAACACTTTTTACACAGTATAAAATGTACAAACCGACGTTAGGACCAGCTAGAAAAACCATAGTTCTCTTTATGTCCATTTGAGGTGGGTCTTCGACTCGTAAACGTCCTTTACCCCCCATTCAGTTTCGTTTCTGAGTTGCCGCGTTAAAACTTTAAAACAGGGCGGTCACTTCATGTACCATCTGGTTTAACAATCACTACCGCAGAATTTCTTTTTGGATCTCATGATTATCACGGTAAACAGCGATTATTTCCTTAAACAGTGTTAACCAGTTAATCTGTGTAATGGTGAAGAGTTGTGTTTTCTTAGCGGTACGGACTAAATTCTTAAATATTACATAGACTAAATTCGGCTTCAAAGGGTTAAATAATAAGACATTCCACACCAATGCACGTGTCGACATTTCAAAATTCTTCAAATAATTTATGTAATTTGACTGCTGACATTACAATGTCCGTCTGAAAAAGTAATGTATTCTTCATTAAGAACAGGACCAGCTACAAAAACAGTCCCCACTGTATTACTGTAATTCAGACAACCCCGGGAAGAAACTAATCAGGACCGAATAACAGGACTTTCCACAGACCTACAAAGCGCCGCTTGGGGCGGATTTTTATATTCAGGAGGACATCATTTCCTTGCTAAAATACTACATATTTTAAACAATGTTGTTCCACTTAAAGAGAAGTTGTGGCGATTTTTATGTTCCGGTCTGCACTTCCGCAAGATGTGATTTATTTCTATATAGTTTGATAACAAACACAGTAGCATGTTTACCAGATACTGCAATAAATAGGCGAATCAGAAAACTCCTGGAGAAACTGCCGAACTAGCAGTTCAGTTCTATTAAAATTCCTCGTTATTACATTTTTATTTAAGAATTCAGTCCGTACCGCAAAGAAAACAACTCTTCACCATTACAAAGCAACTGGTTAACGGTTTTTAAGGAATTCATCCCTGTTTACACTGTAAATATATGAAACCCGTAACTACATTTTATTGGAAAAATTATGAGTTACCGAGTGTTACAGGTTCAAGATACAAATTCACAAATTCGTGATTTTCTAAATTCATTGCTCTCCGAAAATTTAGTTCTGTTACGTAACGCTGCTTCTATAGAAGTGTATTACCGGGCAAAAGAGAAGTAAAAATTCCCTCTCGTTGTAGACATGTATGATCATGAACCTCGACGAAATCCGCTGGACCTCAAGGCTTTAATCGCACTGCTGAAAAAGTTATGTTTCCAATTACAGCCGAGTAACGAAAAATTAGACGTGTGTCGCTACTTACGTTCTCGGAAACATGAGACGTTGGAATGAAAACGAGCCGTTCATGAAAGTTGTAAGTGGTGATTAAATGTTTCATGATTCTCGTAAGTAGTTGTTGGAAGAGCGAAGCAGATGGCGTGGGAACTGCGTATCTGCGGGAGAAACGAAGAAGCATATTCCATCATTTGCATTAACACTAAACCACTTAAAATTAGGTCCCTTCACATACAAACATCGCGTTCTCATAATCTGAATTTTTAAAAGTTATTCAAAGTTAAATACTGAAAACAAAATTCCGTATGTCATTAGTTTGTACAATGAAGTACAAAATTATCTTTGTGTTTAAATAACGATCACGCCACGAAGATGTATGAGGAAATGCGGTATAGCTCCTCGTATTTGAATTTTAATCGCAGTAAACAAAAAAAATATACTCAGAATTTTACCAAGTTTTAAAACCACTTCACAGTACAATGAAACATCGTTGAAACGACTGCGAAAATTACATAAACGAACTCGGAGACATTTAAACCAGACTGTGATAAATAAATCGCGGTGTTATACGTATCGAATATACCAAGTTATATTGGACGTAACAGCGAAGGTGTGGTTTGACCTTTTAGAACTTAGTGGTAAGTGTATGTACCAAATATTGTAACAATAACACAACTCCATTTTGTGTTCATAGGTTCCGTATGACTCTCAGTGTAAACGACGAGTTGATCTTTGTAATGGTAACGCGTAGTATTTCCTTCGCGGTACGGACTGAATTCTTAAATATCATTTACAAGAGCTTCGATTTCAAAGGGGTAGATACTGGCCCATTTGAAGGGGCTCATAGCGTATTTCTGTCCGTGAATCCAATTAAAATTATTATTCGTCTAAACCGAAGCTGCTGTAACCACTATTTTCTTCTCAGTTAATTAACGGTTACAAACTTCAGCTTATTAAAAGCCCCGATGCATTTTACACTTAATTCATTTCTCGACCGGTAATATGGTCCCCTGTTTCAACATCACAGGATTAAGTCGCAGAACACCGTTCTCTGAATGCTTTTAATTATTCAGCTACGTGAGAAATTCCATCTTATGGACCTCAAAGATACATAATCATGTTTACAAGGTACCATAAAGAATATAATCTGATTGAGTTCATATCTCCAATTATTTGGACGAAATACAAACATTATTATTATGAGATTCGTACGAAATAATCAAATTCATCAATGGAAAAATGCAGTTACTGAATATTAAAGCAGGTTGTACATATACTTAACTGTACGGTGAGGTTTAGTTAAAACTTCGCAATCCTCAAAAGACTTACAAAAGTTGTGCGTAAAAATTGCTGAAGACGGCTTTCTGCTGGGTTTAACGCCTTGCAGTCTGGTAGAAGTTTACCAAAATTTCAGAGGTCCTTGCCGCCTCCATCGTCGGCCTGACTACACGGCACTACAACCCAGAGGACAGCCATCTTAGCACTGACTTTGCTTCTGATTGTGAGATTCGACGTTTTCACGGTTGTGAAAACGTCGTTTATGAACCTTTAGACTGCGACGTCGCGTGGGGTTGTGTGGGGATAAAGCGGACGAGGCTCGACGCTGACCACTCACCTCCATCTTATACATAAGTTAAGAGTCAAGCTAAGTACCCACATACCCACACGTCATCCTGGCGTGATGTTTAACAGTCACTAAGAGCACCTTTCAATTTATTGAGGGGTATTACAGCACTTTTGGAGCAAAGTGATCATATCAAATGCCTCAAACTAACCACGTTCGGGGACCCACAGAAAACCTCGGTAGGTTTGCTTGAATTTATCAAGACGTGGAACTTATCAACAAACAAGCCTGCAAGGTTTGGTCAGTTCCCAATTCCTCGTCATATAACCAACCTTCCCCTGCTTCTCCGCCTCTCCCCCTCGTCAGAGTCCCTCTGTAATGAACGGTTTTCTCACGGATAAAAATCGGTCCGTCCAAGGTCACAAAATGCACGAATCCGTAATTCCTCTGTAATATCCAAGTTCTTGGGGCTGGTTTTAGGAAGGAACTTTTTCTCCATCCTTTTCCTTTACCACTTTGTCTGTCCTGCATGAAACGAGTCAGACAGGGCCGGTACTGTGTGCTTCAGCTCTCAAGACACCAACCACTCTCAGAGGTCACATATGCGTATGACGTCAGTTCTATTCCTGTCGTTGATTGGAGTGTTCATTATGCTGATTTCTGATCACCTTACCGGTATAAGGCCCAGTAACAAGCTATACTATTATAAATGGCGTTCAGCAAATGCAAGGCAATCTTAGTAAATGCCAGACACAAGTATTCGAGCAATATAAAGTATTACTACTCCAGAATAAGCTAGATTATGTTAAGTAGTTGGTTGGTGGCCATTTACAAAAAGAGACGATGCGACTTATGGGATAATATGAATGTTTGTGTTGTATAGCCACGCTCTTTCATCGCATAAATAACTTCCTGCGCTAACGATGCGTATTTCAATAACAGAAATCCCCGTCATACGCCCAAATCACTTAGTGGACTTAGGACACTTTATCCTCTCAGGGCTCACGAAATTCTGATCGTCACTCGTACAGAAGAACTTTCTTTCCTCCCTCCTCTTTCTGCGATATCATCTTCCTTCACCAACGGGTTTACAGCACGGTTGTAACTTTGGTAATCTATTTCTCCGCATTCGTTTTACAATTTTGGTCAATGTCCTTGAAAATCGCATAGTACCTATATCTTTTCATTGTATTTAAACTCGCAATTTTTTCCTTTAACCTGAATGCCTTTGGTGTTCGAATTTCTTGAATACCAGCAATGATACCAAAAATACCATCTACGCAATTTTCAAATTTCGCCGTCTATTATTACATAAGACGCCATTTCAAAGTCCTCACTCTAATATATTCATAATTTAGTTTAAATTTCTCTTTTCTTGTCCAAATCCCTTTTTATCATATCATTATATTAATTAATAACTAAAATGCAAGTAGTATTTTAGTAGGGAAACCTTGGAAAGTATAATATGACTGATATGGGATAACAGATTAATATTAAAATTGACCTTAAGAGAGTGGATTTGAAAACGGAAGGTTAACTGGTTTTAGATTCACTGAAATTTCTGTAAGCAAGAACTAATTATCTTACTATTAAGAGTTACAGAAATAACAGTTACTGTGTGTTACTTTCATATTATGTAATAGCTCAGGAGAATATTTGAACTTAAAAGGGGTGAGGTGACGAGGGAGAATGGAGAAAATTACATAATGCAGAGCTCCATAATTTGCACCTTTCGCCAGGAATTATTAGGATGATCAAATCAAGGAGAATATGGGCTGGGTACGTAGACAGCATAAGGAAGAAAAGGAAGGCGTGTTTAACTTTTGCTGCTAAGCCTGAAGAAAGAGGCCACTCCAAAGTCCTGGGCGTAGAAAGAAGGATAATATTAAAATTGCTATAAGAAAATAGGATAGTAGGGTGTGGACTGGATTCATCTGGCTTAGAACAGTGATCGGAAACGGGATCTTGTGATCAGGCTAATGATCCTTGGAGTTCCATAAAGCTCTAACCCATGGCATTATGCAAAGTTTGGTAAATTTATATAATGTACTATAACAATACAGCAACTCGTGAAATTGCCAGCAGAATCACTTATAAATATAAGTATTTTATCCTATAAAAGCTATAAAATACAAGCAAAATACATTTTATGTAGACGTAATAGTTTAACTGTAACGTATCCACACAAAAAAAATACAGAGAAATGTGACGTAAAAGCATCATTGGAGGGCAGAGGCTCGTTACCTAGCAACCACATCCAGCAACGTCTGTTAAAATCGATGCAACATTTCTATTGCTGAAAGAAATTAAGATCAGAAGTGGCATCGTTTTCATCGAAATATCACGTACACGGCGAAACATGATTGAGAACAAACATGACGCAACACGAAGCAACTGAGATTTAGTGACACGACGAACCATAAAGAACGCCTGTATACACCCCTGCTCCCCATATTCATGTATTCACGTATCTGACCTGAATGTCTTACCGGTGCTGTAATTGAAAGAAACCATTTGCATTGAATGAGATCCAATGCTAAAGGACAGTGTTGATATATTCGCATGCAATTTCTATGGCAATAAACAATTCAGTGACATTAACAGATTAACTTTTCATTTCACGCACGTTCAAGATAAAAGAAATTTGTCAATAATAACATTGCAGGAGTTGTATTTATTAAGATACATTTTTTACATGATTCGAAAACAAAAAATATTTATCAGCTGTTTAAATCAAGCATCTTGCGAGTTTAATCCCGTTTCCGTGGAAATAATTTAACTTCGTTATTGTCACACCTTTTTCCCGCTCTCACAAACGGCCATATTCAAACTGCTAGAACCTGCAGCAGAAATCTGAAGTAACGATTCTAACTAAGCAAAGTATATGAATACAGAACAATAACACAAAGAGAAGATTTGAGGTTCTAACCGCGGTCTTCTGGGTTAGCTTCCAAGAAGGTATTCAACGTTTCGGAGGTATATATTGGCCCCATCTTCAGGGCTTCAGCCTTGGAATCTGCCTAAAATCAAACAGAGACAAGACATTCATAATTTGAGTCTAAAGGGACGAACCATATTTTTGACATTTAATATTTTAATAACCGTGGTTGAATACTGTGACATGGTTGATCGTCCTTTACGGAGCAGAACTCTTCATGACAAGCTCAGAGTCGCCCAGACAGTCCAGAAATTGACTTCCTTTCATGGAATCCGAAGGTTTGATACTGTGTTCACATGAACCCGCTCGATTCAGTCGAATCCAATGCGTATACCCATATTTTCTAAAATCCACTTTAATATTATCCTCCTATTACACCTAAATCTTCCATATATCCTCTTCCCTTCTACCTTTCTAACCAAAATGTTTGACACATTTCTGTTCTCATGTGAGCGTAGCGCCTCAGAACACAAGATTTAACGCAAAACTTTAAGTAACCGAAGAATAGGCTAAGTGCTAATGCTTAATGTGAAGCATTTTCTTCTATCGTAAAGAGTTTAGGGAAAATGAAGTTCATGCAACACCGTCTACCAACGCCAGGTCTAATCGGCGCCATTCTAATCGAATTTCTGCTACCTGCTAAACAACGGTC